AAAAACAGCAGATCAAAAAAGCAGAGATGTGAACATTTTCCATAAGAAACCATGTTAAATGGACTGTAGTGCGTTTCTGCAAAAAGCACTAAAAAAAAGCATTGGTGTGAACGGAGCCTTACCCGAGGTTCACACATAAGCGTTTTGCAGAGACGCAGTACAGTCCATTTAACATGATTTCCTATTGGACAAGTTCACATCTCCGTGTTTTCACCCAGTGTGTTTTTTGGAAAGGGTCAGGGACTTTTGTAAATGCAAAACATTGCGTTTTTGGTTCTATAGACTTCAATGAGAACGCTGCAGAAAAAGCATGTATTGCGTTTTTGCTGCGTTTTGTATGTGTTTTTGATGCGTTTTGGGTTTAAAATCTGCCTAGCAACAAGAAAAAAAAGCAAAACGCATAAAAAAGTGTCAAAAACACAAGTGCAAAAACGCAACTCAAAACACAATGCAGAAACGCCTCAAATGCAAGCTATGAAGGTGTGAACCTAGACTTAGGCAGCAGTCATACTTGAGCGATTTGTAGCTTGAAACTCCAAAAACGCTCATTAAATTTAAAAAATCAATTGTTCTCTATGGTGCCTGTTCTTACCTGATTGCACAAACAGGCACCATAGAGAACAATTGATTTTTTTAGATTTGAGCATTTTTGGAGCTTCAAGCTACAAATCGCTCAAATGTGAATGCAGCCTAAACTACAGCTTTAGTGCATTTCCTGACTCCTACAATAATTTACAAAGGATACGAAAAAAAAACAAATCTGCTGGGTTTTTTTTTTTCTATACAAATGTAAAAGATTAGCAGTGCGACAATGTAGCGGTTGCACTTGCAGTCTATATGAATTCTCACCGGAATATGCTTTGTGTGTGCACCAGTCAATAATAGAGTTTATGTTGCTATTAGCAATATAACTATCAATGCAAAAAAAGAAAGAAAACAATTGTATGACTTTGTCATGTGAGTACTCACTGGCTAGTTGCTAGTTGTCTAATGCTGGTAAAAATGACACTTAGGGCCAGCTCACACCATGGCTGCATCTGGAGGAACATGCTGTGCGATTCAACCCACATGCAAAACGCATTGCTTTTGTAATCTACAGTGGGTGTCAATGAAAATTTAATGAAACCCCAAGTGCAGGTCGCAAATTCAGTGCATTTGGCCACACCTGCCTTCACTGGATCGCATGGTACTTCTGTATCATGCGATCTGGTTATAGTGTGTTTTAACCACTTCCAGTCCGGACACTTTTACCCCCTTCCTGTCCAGGCCAATTTTCAGCTTTCAGTGCTATCACACTTTGAATGACAATTGCGCGGCCATGCGACGCTGTACCCATATTAATTTTTTAGCATTTTTTTGAGACAGATAAAACTTTCTTTTGGTGGTATTTTTTTTTGCTATATAAATGAAAAAGTCCCAAAAATTTGAAAAAAAAAGTGTTTTTCTTATAAAATTTTGCAAATAAATAATCTTTTTTCATAAATCTTGGCCAAAATGTATTCATCTATCTTTTTAGCAAAAAAAAAAAAATAATCCAAATTAGTTTATAACCAAAAATTGTAATTTTTCAAAAATGTGTTTACATTTTCATTTTATTTTTTTATATTATTATTTATGTTTTTTTGTTTTGTTTTGTTTTTTTTAACATACTGTCACCCTAGCAGTACAGTGTCACCATAGTGACACTGTACTACTTGGGGGTAATAAAGATTTTTTTTTTTTTTGCACTGTTTGCTTTTACACCCATAAAGGCTGTAAAAACAATAATTTATCCTTCTCTCTGACTGCATTCTTGCAGCCATTGAGAAATACTGTGAGAGCTGTGATTGGTCACAGCTTGTCACATGGTACAAGGCTGTTGTGAATGGCCTTGTTACAAATGGAGAAACAGAAATAGGGCGCACCGACCTAGTGCATTATCATTTAAAATAATTTATTAAAGAAACAAAAATAGGTATCATACTCACAATGGACATAATAACACAGGCATGTCAAACTGAACAAGATGTATGATCCAAACAACATCTGAGTCCATACGATGGAACCCTGGATGACCAACTGGCTAACGCGTCGAGGACACAACCTCTTCCTCAGAGCCAACCAAATGGCCTTGTACCATGTGATCTCTGTGATCATTCACAGATTTCACAAGTAGTAAGCAATGATGTTAGGAAGTGACATCTTGCTTACTGCTATTCATGTGATCACTGATTGGCCAATCAGTGATCACATGAATCGGGACCCAGAGGTCCCATACAGCAGTCGGTGTTCCGCGGTGCCGTGCACTCTCAGGCAGCGCGCAAAGGCAGTAAATGCGGGCACAGTTTATGAACGGCAACCCGCTCCTGCACTGCTCCAGCCCTGCCGTTTATATTCATGTACCGGACGGGAAGTGGTTAAAAGTAGTGCATGCACTAGGTTTGGCACAGTGTGGTGTGATTTTTAGACCATTCCAAATTAATGGGATTGAAATCGCACTGCACAGAGCTGCAATGTGAATCACACAAAAACGCACAGCGCATTCCTGTGCGATTCAGCTCCTTAAAGGCTAGGTTCACATTTAAAAAAAAATACATGCACTTATTTTTGCAGGAAGAAATATGTGCATTTCATGTGTGCAATGTTAGGCTCCTGCAGACTCTTCCTCCAGTTCCCTGCCCATGCCTAAAACAGGTAGAATATGTAACATGTTCCCAAAGGTGAACTTATCCTAATGTGGAAGGGTGCTTTAACTGACATCAGACAGTATATAGAACAAAGGTCACCCTTTGGTCCAGCTTTGAATGAACCAAAAATTTACACTGTAATAAAATAACATTGCTACAGTTTAACCCTAGCCCTGGTTCACACGGCTTTGAAATCGGGTCACTTCACTTGAAGTAGTGCGATTTCAAAGCTGCTGGTGAGTGCTGGTTCACACATACAATATGTGAAATAGATGCAGTTTGAACCACACCCAATCCGCATGACATGTGAAATTACTTCTCCATCAAGATCAATAACACAATCATCAGTATCAGTCCCTCCTCTCATGCCAGGGTACTAGGTGTGATCCTAGACTCCCCTCTGCCCCCTCTGCCTCAAATCCAATCACTGTCCAAATCTTGTAGACTTCACCTCCTACATCTCCAAGATACACCCGTTCCTAACCTTGGAAACCACTAAGCAACTTATTCACTCCCTTGTTATATCTCGCCTTGACTATTGTAACTCCCTCCTCATTGGCCTACCTCATCGCAGGCTATCCCCTCTTCAGTCTATCATGAATGCTGCTGCCAGACTCATCCACCTTACTAACCGTTCTGTATCCACCACCCCTCTCTGCCAATCCCTCCACTAGCTTCCCGTTGCCCAATGAATAAAATTTAAATCATTAAAAATACCATATAAAGCCATTTGCAACTCTGCCCCAAATTACATCACCAATCTTGTCTCCAATTATCACCCAAACCGTTCTTTCCGCTCCTCGCACGACCTCCTGCTCTCTAACTCCCTTGTCTCCTCCTCCCATGCTTGTCTCAGGACTTCTCCAGAGCCTCCCCCAGCCTCTGGGAATTTCTACCCCAATCTATCCGACTATCTCCAACTCTGTCCACTTTTAGGCGATCTCTGAAAACCTATCTCTTCAGGGAAGCCTATCCTGCCTTCAGCTAATAATGGAATTTTCTATTCCTCCTACAAGTCCATCCCCCACAGTTATTACCTTTTGTACCACCAGCCCCTCCCTCTTACATTGTAAGCTCCAAGGATCAGGGCCCTCAAATCCCTCTTGTAATGAACTGTATTGTTGCACATGGGTGAATCAGTGTGATTTCATGTGCGGCTTGCTTGACATTTGTTTATGTACAGATGCCTATGGAAGTCACACATGAAACTGCAAAAAATAGTGCGGGAACCTTTTTTTTTAAATTGGTGCTGTACAGAGAAGTTGCACTGATTTGATTGGTTCCATAGGCACAAATAGGGTGTAACTTTTCATGCAATTTGGAACTGTCAAATCACATGACAGGTCGCACCGGTGTCAACCAAAGCAACCAAAGCACACTCATGTACATCATACTCCTGTATGAGCATCAGACATTCCTGGCATAAAAAACTGTGAGGATGGGCTGTATACCACTTGCGAGTATTTGCGCATGCACACACAGGCATAGAAAGTCTTCTGGCTTTATGTTAATGAAGGAAGTGTGACATATCCTCATATTAATGAGTATACATGCAAAAATACTGGCCAAAATTCTGTAATTTTTTTACTGATCAATATGCAGCGCATACAGGCACATTAAAAACAATGGGCTACACTTAGATCAGGGGAGGGGAATGGGATAAGGAATAGGGCATTATATTTTAAGGGTGTATGTGACTAGTCCAAAACTGGTGAATGCTGCACTCCAGGCACACAGTAAATGCACCATTGACATTTAATTTATTACAAGTACTTATATAGCACCATCAATTTACACATATATATATATTGTACATTTACATCAGTCCCCAGCCATCACGGAGCTGACAATCAGCTCACATTCATACTAGGGCCAAATTAGGAGTTAAAGTGTTACTAAACCCACAACAGTAAAATCAGTCTGTAGATGCAGTAATGCATGCTTGATATACTCACTGTGGAACCTAAGGGGTTAATCCTCTACATTGTGTAAAAAGGCCATTTGATCATGTCTTCCCTGCCCCTCCTATTGTTGAAATTACCACCTGATACAAACTGAATGCATAGCCCCATGAACATGCTCAGTTTGGTGTGTATTTCTAGAGAGGTTTATTTTTTTCTTCTTGGGAGAGTGCATGTGATCAGCAAAGGGCCAATCAGCACTGTCCAGACAAAGGTCAGGGAATTTCCTTCCTCCTAGAGCAGAAAGAAAACAACTTCCGCAAGCTTTACAAGTGGTGGGCCGGACACTGATAGAAGTCACAAGACTGCTCTAACTTCTGATGAGAAAAGGTATTTAGCAGTTTATATTTACTAAAATAATTGCATTTCCATGTGCTGTGTACTGTGGGAGACCAGATATAGTGAATGCAGGGTCCGGGGAGACCAGATATAGTGAATGCAGGGTCCGGGGAGACCAGATAGAGTGAATGCAGGGTCCGGGGGATATAGTGAATGCAGGGTCCGGGGAGACCAGATATAGTGAATGCAGGGTCCTGGGAGACCAGATATAGTGAATGCAGGGTCCGGGGAGACCGGATATAGTGAATGCAGGGTCCGGGGAGACCAGATATAGTGAATGCAGGGTCCGGGGAGACCAGATATAGTAAATGCAGGGTCCTGGGTTTAGTAACACTTTATTTAACCTACCAGCATGTCTTTGGAGTGTGGTAGGAAACTGGAGTACCAGGAGGAAACCCACAGAGGGAGAACATGCAAACTCCAGGCAGGTTGTGTCATGGTTTGGATTTGAACCAATAACCCTAATACTGCTAGACAGAAGTGCTAACGATTTAGCCATTGTCCTGCCCAAAATATACATATGTATTTGGACAATCTTATCTGACCAAGAATGTGCAATTGTATCCAACTACTTTCATGATTAAAACACTTCTGCAAGATAAAACAATCAAGAGGGTGACCCCATTTCTTCTATTTGAGTTAAAAGTAACCAGTAGTGTCAGCTCAGTATCCATAGCTGGCCAGTTACATAATTATGGAGATTCATCCCACTAATAAGTCATCAGAGTCTTGTTGGATACATGCAGGTGGAGTCTGTAGGTATTTTTAAATTGTGAATTATGTAAAATAAATGTCACGGCCTAGGGTCACGCATGGAGACCAGTGGCTGTAGCAGTAGAGAGGTTCACAGGTAGTCAGCTGGAAATGTACAAGCAGATCCGCCTAGCGGACGATACGGGCTCAGCTGAGGCACGGGGTCTAAGCACTAACCAGTATTCACCAGAGCTCCTGATGCTGGAGATAGATTTTGTCCTCTGGATCGCCTCATCATGGGGTGAGCAAGCCAGGGTCTGGTAGCAGATATAGCAGGTAGGGATCAAGGAAAAGTAAATAAATCAAAGGTCAGTAACAAGTAGCAGCTGGATGGGATCAGACAGAAACGTAGTTGGTGAACAAGCCAAGGGTTGGTAACAAGTGGAAGCAAAAATAAGGACAATAGCCGTTTTGCAAGGAGTAAAATATTGGTTGGAGAGAGTACAATCATCTGGCAAACAAGAAATGCAAAGACGTGGCTTAAATCAGAACGTTCAAGGGAGGAGCACAAGATTCAAGGTTAAAAAAAACAAAACTCAAGGTACAGATGTCCAAGAAATCAGGGAGGGTACTGTCCAGCATCCCTGATGGCACAACGAGAAGACGCAGCCAGACACAGCAGAGGTTATGGGTTCAGACCCAGGTCCTGATTGTATTTAGTTGCGCATTACACTATCATTTGGCTTTGCAAATGCCATGGTAGGTGAGTAGAACTGAAAAGAAATTTGAGAGCTGCCACTGGTGAGTTGTTTTTCGAAGGTCCCCCCTCTGAAGTTGTCTTCATCATTCCTACTCCACTACTTACTCAACCACTCACACAAACTCATCATACAGACATTGAAATCAATGCTCTGGACCTGTACCCCTGGATACTTCTTCAAGGTTGGTGACTGTTGTTCAGGAGCGGCTTGACAAGAGGAATACGACATTTGAAGCCCATGTCCAGGATCCGTCTGTGTGTGGTGGCTCTTGAAGCACTGACTCCAGCTTTGGTCCACTCCTTGTAAAAGTCCCCAACACTTTTCAATGGCCTTTTCCTGACAATCCTCTCCAGGCTGCGGTCATCCCTGCTGCTTGTGCACCTTTTTTCTTCCACACTTTTCCCTTTAATATAACTTTCTATTAGTGCTTTGATACAGCACTTTGGGAACATCCAACTTCTTTTGCAATTACCTTTTGAGGCTTTCCCTCCTTATGGAGGGTGTCAATGATGGTTTTCTGCACAACTGTCAGGTTAGCAGTCTTTCCCATGATTGTGATTCCTACTGAACCAGACTGAGAGACCATGCAAAGGCTCAGGAACCCTTTGCAGGTGTTATGGCTTAATTAGCTGATTAGAGTGGGACACTTTGAGCCGAGAATATTGCACCTTTTCACAATATTCTCATTTTCTGAGATTGTGGATTTGGGGGTTTTCATGAGCTGTAAGCCATAATCATCACAATTATGACAAATCACGGCTTGAACTATCTTGTTTTGCATGTAATGAGTCTATCTCATATATTAGTTTCACCTTTTAAGTTGTATTACTGAAATAAATTAACTTTTGCACGATATTCTAATTTTTCGAGTTTCACCTGTAGGTACTAACTAATGTTCACCAGAGCTCCTGATTATGGACATGGTATTTGCTGCTTGTTAGTACCAGGTTGCGGCCCTCAGAATTAAACCACCAGGAAGTGATCAAGATAGGGTCTAGTAGCAGATAAGCAGGTAAGGATAAGCAGATGTGTAGTCAGTAAACAAGACAAAGGTCGGTAACAAATGGTTTCAGGTTGGGATCAAGCAGAAGCATAGTTGAGGAACAAGCAAAGGGTCTGTAAAAAGTGATAGCGAACATACAGGTGGCAGCAGGAGCAACAAGAGTGAGGCATTGGCTGGAGGGACCACAATAATCTAGCAAACAGGATGTTCAAAGGCATGGCTGAAAGTGGAAGTTCATGGGAGGAACAAGGAGTTCAAAATTCAAGACAAACAAGATTCAATGCAGGATCAATCAAGGACTTGTCCAAGGAGCTCAGCAGGAAGTGACATAGCCAGACACAACAGATTTTGTAGGTTCAGATCCGGGCCCTGACAGGGAAAAAGGCAGTCCAAATGGCAGGTCTTTCTTAAAAGTCTGCCTTGTAGTCAGTTTTATTTAACCATTTGACCTCCAGAAGGTTTTACCCCCTTCATGGCCAGGGCATTTTTTACTATTCAGTACTGTGCTACTTTAACGGGCAATTGTTTTGTCATGCAACACTACCAAAATGAAATTCAAATATTTTTTTTTCACACAAATAGAGCTTTCTTTTGGTAGTAGGTAATCACTGCTGGGTTTTTTATTTGTTGCTTTATAAACAAAAAAATACCAAAAATTTTGAAAGAAAATACATTTTTCTTGGTTTCCGTTATAAAATTCTGCAAATAATCTTTCTTCATAAATGTAGCCCAAAATGTATTCTGCTACATTTCTTTGGTAAAAATAACCCAAATCAGTGTATATTATTTAGTTTGTGCAAACGTTATACAGCCTACAAACTATACAAACTATACAGTATATACAGTATATTCAAAAGTTGATGAATCCTGATGTACTGACAGCCATAATTTCTTGAAGCTCTAAAATGCCAGGACAATACAAATACACCCCAAACAACCTCCTTTGGGAAGTAGACAGGCCAGAGTACTTAGTAAGAGGCATGGTGAGATTTTATTTTGTTTGTATTTTTGTGCCACAATTTTTTGAAAGTTAAGAAATTTAAAAAAAATAAAATAATTCTCTCTCTCTCTCTCTCTCTCTCTGTATATATATATATATATTACAATTACGTTTACATACTGTCACCAACGCAGTACAGCATTATCATATGACTGGTGTGGCAGTGATCAAGGATACTGACTGGTGACAGTATGTAAAATAAATAAATAACTTTTTTTATCAGTTTTTTAAACCTTTTTTTAACTATTTTTCTTTACATCCTGTGATCAGAGTGAGCTAAAATAGTGACACTAATATTGCTTATAACAGTGATGATCGTGACAGCTTGCTTACTATTGTGATCTGTGATTGGCTACAGATAATTACATGGTGCAGGGTGCTGTGATTGGCCCACGTACCATGTGTTAGCTGTGGGTCATTCACAGCATCACAATAGAAAGCAAAAGAGTCATAAACAATCTCTTTTAAGGCTGATCATATATCTCCTTTAAGGCTTTTTTTAAATAAAAATAGCATTTTAAAAATACCAGTCCTTTGGTTGCCATAGAATAACCTTATTACTGAACAAAATGTATGTCCTGTGAACTTGACAAAAGTTTGGTTGATGATAGAGCTAAAATAAACCCACTTCTGCTTTCTCAAGAAAAAAAAAAAACAGAAACAGAAACAACATGGGACTTGTGATAAGAGGTTATGCTGAATATGCTTTTTAGTATATGGTTGGTTGGTGTGGTGTAGTTTTAAAGGAGACCTGTTTTTTTAGTATTTAAAGGGAAAATTCTTTTGCACCTCACAGCAGATACAGTATATATTCTCATAGTAAGTGCATGCATCTTAAATAATGTGTAGATGCAATATATGTAGGTATTTATTATCAATTACAAAGATTGTTATTGTTCAAGATTTAAAAAGCACCAATAGTTTGCTGAGCGCTTTACAATATAAAGACAGTACAGTTATAATACAATACAATAGGGTTAAGAGGGCCCTCCTCATAAGAGCTTACAATCTAATAGGGTGCGGCAAGTGGTATAAAATGTACTACCTGTGGGGATGAGGTGATGGAAGTGATAAAAGTTCAGTTAGTTTGAGGCATGATAGGTCTCCCTGAAGAGATGAGTGTTCAAGGATCGCCTACGGGAAGACAGAGTGGGAGATAGCCGAACAGATTGAGGTAGAGAGCTTCAGAGGATGGGGGAGGCTCTGGAGAAGTCCTGGAGATGAGCATGGGAGGAGGAGCCAAAATAGCTAAAGTGCAGGAGGTCTTGGGGAGAGCAGAGAGAATGGTTTGGGTGATATTTGGAGACAGTATTGATGATGTAGCTCGGGCAGAGTTGTGAATGGCTTTGTTGTTAATATTTTGAATTTATTTATAGATTTTGTACGCCAAATACATTAAATTCTGCTGTAGGGTTTTTTATTTCCTTTTAGTTTATTTATGTATTTGCTTGTTAGATGTTTGTGTATGGATTCCCTCTTCCATGTTCCTCCATCCATGGTCCTCTGTTCATGGTACTCTTTCTATTTCCTTCCTTATGGTGGCCAAAAGCATGTGTGTATTTTATAAATCATAGCCTCTATCAATTTCATATGTGGTTTCATTGGCAGTTTTCATCCTTTGATGAAACCTTTGATTGTCATTCAGAGGTACGGGACACTGTGCAGACACACAGCATGCCTGTAGTCTGTTCAGCCACCATGCCCCCTGACCAATCACAGCCTGCCTGCCTGCTGCTGCACACCTCCTCCCAATCACAGCCTGCCTCTTGAAATTGTCTACTGCTCAAGCACAGCCTACATCTTGCTTCAGGCTCAACAGACTATGGAATACAGGCACAGGGTGTGTCTGCCCAGAGACCTGTAACCCCGCCCCCAACTATCAGGAAGAAAAGATGCATGGTCACATAACTAAACTTTTTAACCTTGTGACCTTTAACCTTCTAAAACAGGTAAAAGATTGTTTTGAAACTAAGCTAG